GCGGCTTCCGACACCGCTTTCCTGAAGGCAGGGCTACCCCAGGAGCGCAGGGTGACGTTTGACCAGCCCTGCCCCACCGAGCTGCCGCTCTGGGGGTCCATCATTGACGACCTCTGGGCGTTGGACGCGCGCTCTGCAGGCGACCGCGCGCGGAGCCAGGCCGACTTCTGGATGACCAAGGCCGAGCGCGCCTGGGACCGCTTGGGAGTTCCTGTGCATCACGGCAAGTCCGTGGACGGCGGCAGCGGCGAGTTCCAGGGCACCGAGGTCCACCCCACGGAGCACTGGCTGGGTACCACTCGCCGCCGCCGCGTGGACCTCTTCGCAGCCACCCTCGCCCTTCTGGGCCAGCAGCTGGTCTACCGCAAGGACGTGGAGCGCTTGGTCGGGAAGCATGGTTTCTGCCAGAGTTATCGGCCTTGCTTGCGGTCTAACTTTTCTCAGGTCTATTCCTGGCTGGAGCGCCTACCCTTGCAGGGGCGCAAGCCCGTGGCGTGGTGCCCGTTGGCGTGGCATGAGGTGCTGATGTCGGCCATCCTGCTGCCGTTCGCAGAGCAGGACCTGGATGCGGACTGGTGCCCGCGCGTGGAGTGCACGGACGCCGCGCCAGGAGGGCATGGCCGCGCCTGGGCGACGCTGCCGCTGGAGTCGGTGCAGCACATCGCCAGGTGGGCTGACCACCGGGCGCCCTACACCATGCTCGGCGACGGCTTCGGGGTTGACGTGGACGTCGAGGGGCGCTGCAGCCTGGCCCGTGTTACGCTGCCGCCAGTGGGCCACTGGTTCAAGGTGGGCAGGCCAGGCGGCTATCAGCACATCACGCTTGAGGAGGCGCACGCGAAGCTCTGGGGCATGGAGGCCCGTCTTCATCGGCCCTCTGAGTTGGGGAAGCGAGTACTGCATGCTGGAGACAACGCCCCGTGCGAGGGCGCCTTCATCAAGGGGCGCAGTGCCAGCCGCAGGCTCAACCGACGCTGCCGCCGTGGGGCGGCTATCGAGCTTGCGGGCGGGTTCTCGCACTTCCACTTCTGGATCTCGACAGGCAAGAACCCCGCCGACGAGCCCAGCAGCTGGCACGGGTCACGCCAGGCGCGTGGCGGCAGGCGCAAGCCGCCGCAGCCGCTGCCCCGCCAGGAGGTGATCCCGCTGGCGCCAGCAGGGTGGGCATCTCGCGAGAAGCTCTTCCTGCACTTCTGCTCTGGGCCCAGGCGCGAGGGCGACCTGTGTGAGATGGTCGAGCGGGAGGCGCGCGGGGCTGGCCTGGTGGTGAAGGCGCTGGCCTACGACCCCATGGTCGACCCTGCCCATGACTTGACGTCGCCTGTGCTGGTGCGCGAGCTGAGGGGGCTGTGCAGCAGCGGCGACGTGATGGGCTCCTTCGCGGGGCCGCCTTGCTCGACCGTCAGTCGCGCCAGGCATCACGCCCTGGGCGGCCGCCGCGGCCCGCGCCCTCTGCGCTCTCGGGACCAGCCGCTCTTGCCCTTGCCTGAACTATCAGAGTCCGAGCGCCAGGCTTGTGCGCTGGGAACGCATCTCTTCCTCCTCTGCCTCGAGCTCTTCACCAGAGTCCATATCAGAGGGGGCTGGGCAGGTCAGGAGCATCCTCAGGATCCAGGTCGTCATCCTTTCCCGTCCTTCTGGGTTGCTCAGGAGGTGGTGGAGTGGATCTCAGAGTTCGGTTTGTACGTGGTCTCGTTCGATCAGTGTCGGCATGGATCGTTATCTCAGAAGCCCACGTCCGTTGTCACCAATGACGCCAGGGCCGCCGCAGTCTTGGGACTTCGCTGCAATCATCGACACCGTCACAAGGGCGTGTACGGCCTGGCCCCGAAGGGAGGTTTCGTCACCGCTCAGTTGGCGCGTTACCCTCCGCAGCTGTGTCAGGCTCTGGCTCGCTTGGCGGTCAACGCGCTCGTCGCCCATCAGCAGCACCTCAGCCATGGCCGAGGATCCTGGCAGGCGCCGTGGGCGCATCATTACCTTCTTGATGAGCGCGCTGAAGCCAGTGACGACCGACAGGTACGCCGCCGCGCCGTGCGATTTCAGCTGTGACCTGGAGGCGCTGGGCTACAGCATCCACGAGCTCACTGAGGAAGAGCTCGATTGGTTCCTGGCCGAACGGGTGGTGGATATGTTCGAGGAGTCTGGCGGGGTGGATGGGCTTGGGACTGCCTCAACCCTGCTGGCCGCCTTCGCGAAGGCGAATCCTCGGCACCACTACCGCACGGCCTGGAAGGCGCTGGACGTCTGGCGCACCCGCAGACCGCCTCTGCAGGCGCCCGCCTTACCAGCGGTGCTGGCGCTGGGCATCGTGAACTGGCTCGTGCTGGCCGGAGAGTGTGGCTGCGCCGCCGCCGTGTTACTGTGCTTCACTGGGTTGCTGCGAGCGTCCGAGGCGCTCTCCTTGGACGGCGCGACCTGGATCAGGACCGTGACAGGGTACGTCGCGCTGCTCGGCCGCACCAAGAGGGGGGCAGAGCAGAAGGTCCTGTTCGAGGAGCCGTCCACCGTGACCTGGCTGGATCACTACATGCTGCGTTTTCCCGCCAGAGCAGGGCAGCGAGTGTGCCCCATCTCGTACCCGCGGCTCCAGCGGTGGCTTCAGAAGGCCGCCAACGCGCTGGGCTTCGGGGCTGTGCACTGGACGTCTCATGGGCTGCGCCGTGGGGGAGCCACGGAGCTGCTGTCACGGGGCGTGCCGCTAGCGGACATCATGCTTTTCGGTCGCTGGCTCTCAGAGAGGTCTGCTCGTGAGTATCTCCGGCGCGGGGAAGTGAGTCTCACTCGTTTGCGTGTTGACATTGCCAAGTCGTCATGGTCTCTTGCCTACAGGTACTGTGCAGTTGGAGCCCAAGTTTGGGCTGTAGTCTGAGTTTCAGTCAGTTTCTTCTTCTCCGATTGTTGTTTCGAGCTTTCGCTGGATAGGGGAAGGTGGCGAGGCATTGGCCTACGCAGGCCAGCATGGTGCGATCGTGATCGCACTCCACCTTTGGAAAATATTCTGGTACGCTTCGCGTGCGCCCTCCCCTGAGAAGGGTCGGAGAGGTGGTTGTAGGTGACGTTCTGAAATAGATAGAGCTTGCTGGATAGTTTTCGGAATGCCAGGTTTCTCATCCAGCCTCGTCTCGACGTCCGTGCTCCTGGAATGGGCTGCCTTTGATGTCTGCCAGCCTCCCTTTCAGGATTCACGCTCGTAACTATTCTGGCCCTGCTGCGCTCCCACCCACCCGTGGTGGTCACCAACAACAGTGTGGAGTGCGCGGGGCCTTGCGCTGCTCCTTGAGCGGCGAGGCATTGGCCTACGCAGGCCAGCATGGTGCGATCGTGATCGCACTCCACCTTTGGAAAATATTATGGTACGCTTCGCGTGCGCCCTCCCCTGAGAAGGGTCGGAGAGGTGGTAGTAGGTGACGTTCTGAAATCCACATTTACGTACATCGGATTTCCGAAGAGACTTGATTCCATATCGGCGGCCACTGATAGTGTTACTCCAATAAAACGCGAAGAACCTGTCGGTTTTTGTATGTGGCACTGCATCACTAACGAAGCCGATCGGCACAGACAATGGCCCAACCCTGGCTGTAACCGGGTGTTCCGCAGACATCGTTGGAATATCAGCTTTCGGCAGTTTTGAAACATCGTACTCCTCAGGGTTCTGTGCAACTGCGGATGCGAACTGGTCGTGTGGCACATTGAATGGAACGTCCACCCATCTGCGTTCTTCTGTTGTGGAGTCCCACATTGGAACTTTTGTTGTAAAGAAGCTGTTTTTAGCATCTGTCCCAATGGCGGATCGAAGGTGTTCTGAATGGTGAGTACTACTCTCTCGGAGGGCCAAATCTGCCACGCCTTTCGCGCCTGCTGCAGTAGCATGGAACGATATAGTACATGCGTCTTTAGCTGTCATTCGTCCCTGCTTGTAGCGACCGAGCAAGAAAGATCGAAGCCCCGTTCAGTCGGGCGCATCTGGAATGATACCTGCTGAATCCTCCTCCCCTGGATGCCATTCTGTAGCCTCGCCCCTTGGCGGCCGAGACCTCGATGGAGCCGACCCCGACGCACCTCCCACGATCAATGATGCAGCCGCCTCTCTTCCAGACATGGGATCCCTGTAGGAGCCACGACTCAGAGCGATGGTGCAATGTGTGGTGAGCTTGGGCTGGGAAGGCTGTGGTGGCACATGCGCTCTCATGTTCATGCTATCCTGGTCTCCAGCAATGCTTGAGGACAAGGCTCCTATCTGCTGCAATGCTGCTGCCATCACCGCATGAAGCTAGACAATGGAAACAATGCCGAATGCAAGCGAGTTCGCCCGACGAGGTGGGGGAATCGGATCCATGGAACGAGGGGGCCGCCCAAGCGGGGAGAGGAAGGGTGATGATGCGAAGAATGTTAGCGTGATAATGCGAACTGAGCTTGCATTCGGCATCCGATTGTGCATGTTAGGCTCACGAATTGGGACGCACTGCCAACCATCCTGCGCATGACACGTGGCGCCCTCCCACCGCATTCGCTCATTTCTTCGCGGCTGTCGGCCCCGCCGCGCGAATGTAAAATCAAGGCCGATATCATCCCGTTCCCGAGGTGCTCAACATGTACAGCACATGAACACACAACGTACGGAAACCCAAGTTGCACTTGACACCCATCGCACCAGTGCTCTGATCTAAACCAGCGCATTGCTCAAAATCACGACCGCACTCGAAAAGCATGCGCGCTGAGCGACCGCCCGCTCGGGTGGCCTACCCCGCCTTCCTGGCAGCCCTAGAAGGCCTATTTCCTCATGGCCGCGTTGGCCACTTTCACAGACTCTTCGATGGGGGCGATGATCGCGTACAAGTTGTTAGCCTACCAACTGAATTAGCAAATGGACGATTGGACAATTCACCAATAGCAACACACCTGGAACATTCAATACAGCGCTGCGCACTCAAGTACAAACAAGTGGCAACAGGCCTCGCGCGAGGCCCGTCGCGAAACGGGCCTCGCGCTGCCCCCAGCGTGGCTGCCCCGCTCACCCCCCTCCTGCAGCTGGAGGACTACAACGCCGTCGTCGTCGACTTGCACGCGGACCACGTCCCCGAGATCATGCGCAAGCTCGCCGACCCGCGCTACGACGACGTTTCGGTGAGGCATCCGACGCGCAGCCCGGGTAGCTCGGACGCCAGGCGCCGGGCTAGGTTGGAGCTCGTTTTTAAGGACCGCCTCTCGGACATGGCCATGGAGATGCGCATCCGAGACATTAAACGGAACGTCCTAGATGTCGACAGTTACATCGGCCTCAAATCCTTGTACACCGACCCGGACGCGCTTGTCCTCGAGTGTGTGCCCCCCCTGGCCGTGGCTAGGGTCAGCACGCTTTGCTTGCAGCTCATCTTCCTCACCAGCGATAGGGCCTTGATTCGCACTGCGGCCTCGAAGGACACGCGGGAGAAATTGATGAACGACGCAGCTAAGGAGGACAAGGCACTTACTATCACGAGCCTTCGCTGGAAGGCTGGAAAATATGGAGGGCGGCACTTCGCCACTGTTGACGCTACTGTTGGCGCTCTGACGGCCTCCCGCCGTCGGAGGCACCGCAGGGGGAAGCCAGCAACGATCGTCGACCATATCACCGAGATTCGGGTCAATGGGGAGGTCGGCCTCGACAGCAAGGGGGTCATCAACAGGCTGCTGCAGCACGCTTGCCAGACCCAGGCCCTGAACCTTCAGCCGGCGCGAGACTCAGAGCGTCCGGAGATCGGCACTTGGGTGCACCTGTTGGACCTCAACCCCACGGCCCCTCCAGGCCACGCGCGGGTGTACCTGGGCAGCAGCGCCGACGTCCGCAAAGTCTACCAGGCACTCCATGGGCAGGTTCTCCAAATCGGCTCCGACACGGTCTCCATCACCGCGCAGAACGACGCTGCGGAAGCCGGCCCTGTTTCGGGAAACGGGGCGCGGGGGAGCTGAGGGGAAGCTTTCCCGCTGCATCGAATACAGCGCGCCCCAGCGCACCCACCGGAATTCAGATCTTCACATGCAGTGGCACCTCCTATTGGATCTTGGACGTCGTAATCGCTCTCCGCTCCGCCGCCGCGGTGCCGACTACGACCCGCCGCGTCTCTTCCAGTTCTCAGGCGCCCAATTCTTCTTCGGCCACTTCTTATTCTTCTTCATTGCCGTGCATTCGTATTGCTCTCCAGCAACTTTACCCCGACGTCACCCCCGACCAACGCAGCGACGTCTCCTTCTGCCTCCTGCTTCGCCGCAAACTGTATCGCGACCTCGGCGTGGACTGCCCATCCGACATCAGCCCGTCAAGCGATTCGCTGACGGATTCACCAGTACGAACATTGGTTCGCCGCCCGCACCTGCTCTACAATGGGGATGTCTCCAAAACTACGTGGAATACCCAGGCGCTCTTCGCTGAGAACCCGTCTTGTTTCAAGCGGAAGTCTAAGTGCGTACACAACTTCATGGCCAGCCACGACGTAGGCCTCTGGACGGAGACGCACGGCACGGCGGGCGGCAACGCTGTCTGGACGAACCCATCCGGTTGCCAGTCTTGGTGGGCCCCTGGCCCCACCACGGCAGCCGCTGGAGTGGGCATCACCGTTACAAACAAGTTCCTCGCCCGCTACGACGACCCCCCACGTGGACGATAATCATGCCGGGTCGCGCTGCTCGGCTCCGTCTCCGAGGCCAGCACGGCAACCTCGACTTGTATGTCCTCTATTTTCGCACGGGTTCGGAAGTGATGCCTCACGATGTCGTTGCCGCCGGCCTGGAGCACATGGACCGCCTGCCGTCCTTCTTCGAGCTCAGGGAGGCGCTTCGTAGGCGTCTCTCCTCGCACATCGCCCCGAGAGAACTACGTGGCCGACGAGCAGGACCGCATCAACGTGGCCAGAATGGTATCTTCTGGAGCACGCGACTCCCGCGAGGAGGCCCCCTGGGACAGTATGGTTGCACAACCGCACGGACTACACGAACTCCACCAGCCCTGCATGACCTACGCGTCGCCCAATACACGTTCCCGGCTCGACAGGCTATATTGCAACCAGGAGCACGCGCACTACCTGGACTACAACATGTCGTGCGCGGCCCTCCCGTGGTGTTTCGAGTTATCCCAGCGTAGGGTTGTCAGTTTCCGCCGCGCGCGTCCGTGCCGCGATTCGGACTCCGCGCAGCCGCTCGCCGACCACTTCGTCGACCACCCCGACTGGCCGTCCAAGGTAGCCTTAACTTTTGGAGAATTGCTCGATCAGTCACCGGGAGCGTCTCGGCTGAGAAAGGTTTCGTTTCTCAAGGAGGCCATGCGCACTGCCGCCGCCCACCTGGACGGGCCCGCGCACGCTGCTTCGGGCACGCTGAGCGCGGAAGACCGGCTGGGCACGACGATGCGCTTCCTGAGGGCTTCGGAGCGGCAGTCCCCGAGTGCGGTTAGCTCTTGCATCTCCCGCTACCCCGCCCTGCGCACGCTGGTCGACAACCCGTGCGACTTCGCCGGCCCGCCCCAGGCACGTCTCAGATTTGTCCGGCAGCATGCGCTCGACCTTGCCCGCGACCACGCTCTCGATGAGCTCAACCAGTTGCGCGGCGATCTCGCGGACCTCCCAGCGGAGCAAGCCGCGCACCGCCGTCGGCGGGTCCTCCGGCTGATTCACCGCCTCGCCCCCGGCCGCAGCTGCGCGACCTTCGCGGTCATGGACAAGCAGGGCCACGCGACCACCGACCCTTCGGCGATGGCCTCCACCTTACGGGACCACTGGTTGAAGGTATTCGCAGCCCAGCACACCGCCGCCGCCCTCCGAACCCAATGGCTGCACGAGGAAGCAGACCACGGCACGCCAGAAGATGCAAGACACCTCCCCTTCAACAAGCCCTCCCGGGAGGACTTCAAGAACGCCTTGCGCTTCTCCAAGAACAGTGCGCCGGGCCCAGATGGCATTACTTTCCGGGCATGGCGCAGGCTTGGCGACTTCGGGACTACCATCTTGTACGACGCCTTCTCCGCCCTCACTGCTGACGACGCGCTGGAGGCTCTCGACCAGGACTGGCGGGACTACAATTCCAGCCTTTTGGTCTTTTTGCCGAAAAAGCATTCCGGCGAGACCGAGGACGGCATCTTGACGTGCGAGGCCGCCAATACCAGGCCGCTCAACATAGCGCACGCCGACAATCGGCTCATCTGCAGCGCTGTCTGGCTGTGCATCGAGCCGCAGATCGCCCCAGGGTTCGCCGGCGAGCAGCGGGGGTTCATCAAGGGGCGGTCGATGCTCGACAACGTCGTCGACGTGGAGGCCGCAACGTTACGACATGCGTTCGCTTCCCCTGCAGCTGCCCCAGTGTTCTTCGACTTCGAGGCCGCCTTCCCGAGCGTGTCGCACGACTTCTTGCGCGACGTCCTGAAGGCTAAAGGGTGGCCCCCCTGGATACGCGCGTTCGTGGCTGGCCTTTATTGGAACAATGCGTGCAGCATTTCTCCTGGAGGTCACCACCATGACGGTTTTACGCTGTTTTCTGGAGTGCGGCAGGGCTGTCCGCTATCGCCGCTGCTCTTCGCAGTCATTTCGGACGTCCTCATTCGGCCCTGCCCATGGCTCCGCTGATCGCGCCCCCGGCATGCGCGGATGACGTTGCCGTGGTGCTCCCGAACGCCCTCGTCGAGGCGCGCATTCTGGAGACCATCTTCACATAATGCCGCGCTATCTCCGGCCTTCGGCTCCACCACGGGAAAACCGCCTGGGCCCCCCTCGCCCTGCGTGACGAGGCGGCCGTCCGGAGCGAACTCCAACGGCGGGTCTGCAGTTGGGGCGATTTCTCAATCCAGCAGCATGCTACCTGCCTCGGCTTCTGCATGGGGCCGGGCACGGGAGACCGCTCACGGGTGAAGGCGGTCGCCAAGTTCCAGGAGCGCGCCCTGCTGTGCGGCGGGTCGGATGCGGCCCCTTCAACACCATCCTCGCTTATCGGATCTACATCGTCCCGGTTCTCACCTTTCTTGCGCAGTTTATGACCCCCCCCAGCCATTGGGACGACATCGAGCGCAACGTCTGCAAGACACTCTTCCGAGGTCCTCGGTGCTGGACCTCCCCGTGCATGCTCCGCAACCTCGGGATGCTGGGTTTCCAGGCGGAGCTCCTTAACCTGTGCGACATCGCCAATGCCGCGAAGTGCCGGGTTGTCCACTGGGAGAACGCGGACCAGGGGGTCTTGGAGGTGGCGCGTCGCCACAGGGAATTGGAGCGCATTGTCTCGGACAGCTCTTGTCTGCATCGCTTAGCTCACTGGCGGGGCTGGGTCGGCGCCAACGTCCTCGCCAACCTGGCCCGCGCGCACGAGATGCCGCAACGGGCTGCGCGGGGCAGATCCCTCAGCGCCCCCGCGCTGCTTCGGGGGAACTCGCCGCGCGAAGTTGAGCGGAAGGATTGGCAGAGGACGGCCCAACTCCACCTGGGGGGCGATGATCGGGATTTGTTTTTTCGCCAGCTCCGTCGACACATGGACCACTTCCCGCTCTTCCTCCTCCCTGGGCGCCGGGTTGATCGCGCACTTCGGCTTCTGCGTGGTCTGGCCCGGGAAGTCCCTCCCAGGGTCTGGTTTGCTACGTTCCGCGCGCTCTGCAACGGATGTGTTACGAGAAGTCGATTTGGCGAAGGTGGCCCTTGCATTTTCGGATGTGGCCACCATCAGGATTCCCTGCAACATTACGCGGCGTGTCCGGTAGTGATGGATTTTACCAGACGGAAGCTCGGCCTCCCGCGTGCTCCAGTCGCTGATCGCCTCGACGCCTTCCTGGCGCTCCATGTTCTGCACGACCCGCGCGCGGCCGCCGAGCTCTCCAAGCGAGCCTTGCTGCTCTATGCTGCTCATTCGGCCAGTTGCGCCAAACGCCGCGCAGGCACCAGCGGCTGTAAAGGCCTGGCCCGAACATTGGGCGCCCCCGAGGAATCCGTCGTGATCTTTGCGCGGGCCCCGCGCGGGGTTGGCGCGATGGGTTATTTCGCGACTGAATATGATGCGCCCGATCTGGTTTGTGCCGCGCTTTTGTTTTACGCGCCATGCATGCGCCGATGTCTTACCTGGTGTCGCAACTCCGCGTCGCATTCCTCGCGTAGGTGGATTCGGGGCAAACAATATTCGCACACCAAGTAACATGTAAACATATGGGTCGTGTGAGTAGGTTCACCCAGCCCCAAAATGTTATTTAGGGATGGCCGCGGGCGTCCAGGGTTGCATCCCGCGGCCCCGCGGCCTTCGGACATCAGTTAAGCCCAATTGCCCCCCGCCCGAAGCTCGCGCCATGGCGCCCGCTGCGCGCAGATGCGTCACGGCTTTCCTTTAACTGTGACGGGGTATTGCCCACCGTATGTTAAAATCAGTGGGCCGCTATTGGGGGTTTTGGGTGAGTTTGAGAATGGTTGAGAATGGTTGAGAAAATATCGGTTTAGAGCTCCTGCAATGTGTCCCCATATTTAGGTGGCAACGGTGGGCCGAAGGGTCCCAGGCGCCACAAGTGCACGCCCATGGCGCGACATCCGTGCAACTCTTATGAGACCGTGAAGATAGGTAGACGGGGGGGGCGGGGGAGGGTGAGGTGGTATGAACAAGCATGCGAGCGGTCGGGGGTCCGACGACCGCACCTTTCCTCTTCGGCCCACAATGTTTCTTGCGCGGGTGTTCCAGGGGCCCCGACTCGACCGTGGCAGCGGTAGAACCTTGAAAGTTTCATCTTAGAGTTCGGGGCGTCGCTCGTCTCACGCCCCTTCCTCTCCGCAAACCCCTCCCCCCCCCTTCTCATCCACTCCTCCTTCTCCTCCTTCGCCCCATGCAGTGGGACAGAAAAGAAGTCGAGACGTGCACCTTCTTCCACAACAACAAACGGAGGGTTAAATAAACGAGCTTGATCTGGCACTACGGGGGGCACCATCAAAACTTTAACATTGAGATTTAAGGTTTATGCCGACCCTCCACCCTATACGATGATATGACCGCTTTCGGGCTTACAGAAGCCCCACCCTCTAAGATGTGACTTTTGGGCTGATATTGGACCCCCCCTGCTCGTTGTCCGTCTCCGTAGCCATTTTGGCTCAAAGCATTTTGCTTTGGCCACGCCGTGGGCTCCAGCGAGCCCATGGCAGAGACTGCCGTCGCCGAAGATGGCATCGGAGGGGACGTGGGCGACGCTGGCAGTGATGTTGGCGGCGGAGCTGTGGCCGTTGAGTCCGACGGCGTCGGCGGCCCGCCGACCGTCGCCGATCGGCGTGCGCGACCTCGGCGCAGACGGGTGCCTGCGCCGCCGCCCACGCACGGCCAGTTTTCTGCCTTGCTTGTCGGGCGCCCGGACGACGGGGAGGTGGTGCCTCAGAGTTTGGTGGATCAGTTCGAGGGCGGTCGTGGCATGAGCGTTGTTGGGTATTGTTCGTGCCAATGGTCTCTGGAGACGTCGTGTAGCGACGCCAAGGACCGCCACGCTGCTGCTCTGGTCACTTCTCCAGCATCAGCTGCAGTGGCATTTGGATTTGTCCACTACGAGGTGTCCGACGTCTGGCAGCTGTCGCAGGTCGTGCCCGTCCCTGCCAGCATGCAAGAAGACGTAGATGACCCATCGCATCTCCCCAACCTGCTGGAGATGATTGTTGACAGAGCCGTTGGTACCCGTTTCACTGTGAACCGCCGTTCGGCGGCGGCAGACGTGTTGGACTCAGTGTGCCACGTATTCTTGTTGAGTCTTCCTGTGCTGGCCAGCGTGCTTGTGTCCACTTCGGAGGTCGTGCTGGCGTCGTTCAAGTTGTGCGCTCGATTCATGATGGCAGGTCTCGTGCCGAACCACCCGACGCGAGCCATCGTCCGACGATGGCGGCGCGCGCATCGCCCGCCCAGGGCGTCTGCGAGGCAGGCTCGACCACTGGCACCAGGAGCGCTGACCTCGTACGAGGACCTCGTGCTGCAGCTGCCGCCGCCCAAGCGCCAGCGCCAGCAGGTCAGCGTCGGCGGCGGCGACGCCGAGCCAGCTCACAGGAAGAGGAAGGCCGACCCCGTCAGGTTCTACAAGGCTCTGAAGTTCAGGCGCCACTTGCGATCGGCTCGAGACTTCAAGCTGGCGCTGGCCGACGCCAGCGCGTACGACCTCGACGCGGAGGCCGAGGAGAGGGACGCCATCGGCGACGTTGACAGGAGTTGGTGGCCCAACGCCGTCGCCGATCCCTTATGCCCGCTGCCCTTCCCCGAGCCTGCCCCGACGCGCGCCGCCCCGCCTCCTAGTTTGGTGGCGGGGGGGGTTCGCATAGATCCCCCTCGTGGCTCCCACGGGCTTTCGGGGTAGGGTTTGCTTTCGGGGTCGGGGCGGTGTTGGTGCCACCCGTGAGGACGAGTCTCGAGAGTGGTTTGCAGCGCATCGACATCTTGGCCATGCTCCTTCACCGTCGGAGGTGGCACGCCGATCGGGTCCATGACCGCATCGATTGCGTTGCCTTGTTCACGGATGCGAGCCCGAACTGCGGAGAGGAATTCCAGGGTACTATCGCGTCGGTTCTCCGCGTGGACGGCTCGTTTTATCACGTTACGTTTCCTGGCAGTTCACTTTGCTATGGGCATGCAGATTTAATATCAAAAGGTATTGCCTTACTCTGGGGCGCGTGGCTATTATTTGGACAGGACGAAGAAGATCTGCAATATTTTTGTGAGAAAGTTACTTCAGTGACGACCGACATGGGGACGGAACGGATGACAATTCAGTTGCCGAATTTGCGGGCTGCGTTCTGGCTCTGGTTGCGCGGTGAGCCCGTCGGCAACCTCATGGCGCACGTGGTGCAACATGAGAGACTCTTGCCCAACGCCATCCGCATGAGTGGATGGGGTCATACGTTCGGCAATTTGGCTAAGCATTGCTGTCAGACGTGGCCGCAGTGGCCTGCGAAGCTTTCACGCTTGCGGTGTTTATGCAGCTTCTTCAAGAACACGACGTACCGCAAGCACATCAAGAAGAAGTTGAGCGAAGAGCACCCCACTTTAGACGGGAGTGTTCTGGATCGCTTCACGGCTGACTTCGCGAAGTGGAGGTACCAGACCTTGGAGGTCGTTCTTCGCCAGTTGTCTTCTCTGCGTGAGGTCCGCACGTGTATTCGGCCTGAGTGGTTTCGCAATTGCCAG